AACACAGCATGGAAATATATTTTATTTTTTGAACTGTGGGCATTAATTACATACATAAACTTGTTTGCATAGACTTGGAACTTTCACTTTTAAATTGGGTCTGTATCGTACAAATTTTAGCACAAAAAAATATTATTTTTTAAAGCAGAATAATTGAAATGGTACAAAAAGAAACAGCGCCGAAACCGTTTTTTTTTTATCGAAATCGAACAGTCAGTATGAGACTATGAAGGCTTTCACGGCCGGTCAGATTACATTTAGGAATGTTTTCCGGGCTTTGAACTTTGACTCCTGGTGTTGATAAAGGATCCCGTTTGTCCTTGGCCGATCTCAAAGTCTGTTGGATGGTTCCAGTTGGTTTGAAAATGGTTTTTACTTGGTGTTTCTCCAGTATCTTGCCGATCCTGTCCGTGACTCCATGTATGTACGGGAGGCAAACCCAACTCTTATGCTCATCATGCGTCTCTGTTGTCTCTGAGCGATCTTCACTGTTTTTTGGTCGAATTGCTCTATTGAAATCTTTCTTACTGTATCCATTCCAACTAAAGGCCCTTTCCAAGTGTTTTAATTCTCCCTCTAACTCGGCTGGTTCGCAGATTCTTCTGGCTCTTTCGGTGAGAGTTTTGATGACTCCTCCCTTTTGACTGGGGTGATGGTTTGGACCACTGTGCAGGTACCGGTCGGTATGTGTCGGTTTCCTGTACACCGTGTGGGCCAGCTTTCCGTTGGCTTTTCTGGTCACCAAGACATCCAAAAAAGGCAGTCGCCCATCCTTCTCCACTTCCATAGTGAATTGAATTTTAGGGTTTATTGAGTTGATGTTCTCAGGAAGTCTTCCAGTTCAGTCAGACCATGGCCCCAAACAACAAAAGTGTCATCCACATAGCGGAACCAGCACTTAGGTTTCCTCACGGCTGTGTCCAGAGCGTTCTTTGCGCCGAAGCGTTGGAACCCCCACCCATCCCCCACGCATGAGCACACACAGCTGGTCTGCATAAATACGACTGGGAATCCAGCAGTTGAATCATTCTTAGTCGGAAAGCACGGGAGGTCACTTCGCCCTCATCGCCTTTGAAAATGTCCACCGCAGTTGTGGACGAAACGTCAGGAAGAAGTTCCGATAGACCACGGCTTCAAAGCCCGGAAAACATTCCTAAATGTAATCTGACCGGCCATGAAAGCCTTCATAGTCTGATAAAACGCCTCTACGGGGAGGATACATCGAGACTGATTCGACAACTGGAAAACCTGCGTAAGAAGAAGGCGCAGCT